TATGGTATGAGCATGTAAAGTGAGCAAAACAAAACAAAATACCATGCAAAATGTTTGATGGTAACGATCCAAACAAATTCTTCAAATGGTGTCTTCTAGGGGAAGTACAACTTGATCTGAAGTAATATTTTGTGTTAAAATTGCACAAAATGGTAGTTACTATAGATTTTAGTATAAATATTAATGATATTAACTGTCAAGCGGAAAGCTACAAAGCAAAAAAAAATAACAGTGTAACTTTAACGCATACATTCAATTAAGTTTCATCGTTGTTGTTTATGTTTACTGCAGCTTTCTGTTTGTCATCAGTTTTGCCTAGATTTTTGTTTTCGATAGCTCTGATCGTTTTTGGCTTTTAATTATAAAAACGACACTGGACGTTCCCCCAGCAGCAAATCTCTCCAGGTTAAAGGCTCATAGCGAATCGGAGAGTAATACGACCACGGAACCATCACTCTGGGACTCCGTTTAGGGATGGCGTAGTCAGTCGATTTCCGTTCCATCGGAGGACAGTACATTGATTCGCAGACGTGGAAATTAATGGCTATTTCCTGGGAACTGAAGTGGGGCCGAATTTATTAGAACAAGGAGCGGATTTAGGTGGCGGTGGCCAGCAAGATCATCAAGGAATGACTTGCCTCTCGTGTGAAATCCTTTTTTGATTAAACGAATGTCAAATGTACACTTAAAACCAAACATAGTCAAACACAAAAAAAACAGCTGTCAGACTAAGCATAAGATTCGCAAATATCACACATTTTAAAATATTTAATATTTCCACCATCGGTATTGATGCCGATACTTGGAGCTGTCCTTCCCCTAGGATGTCTTCCATTTCTGTTTAATTTTGATTGTTAAAGGTCTTTAAGCTTAGCTTAAACTGACTGCACACACAGCCATTCCATAGCAAAACGATATAGTGGTTCTTAGAATATCGTAAAATTGGTAATTTTGTTCCTTATTGCAAAATATTAGACTCATATTTTTTATTTTGTCATTAGGGTGACCATTTCCGTGTCAGTGCTAGACAGAACGCTCTACACAAATCGAATCAGCCATTAGATGGATAGCTAGCATGTATCAGATGAAAACTCATCATCTGATCATAGATGCATATAGTTTTAACACTTATATAGAATCATTATAGACCTTGAGCATTAGAAGACCTCGATCAAAAAACAGGGATCTGAAATACTAGCAACTGAAATGCATAGATACTCTCCTACACACTTAACCTAGCTCGGTAAAATCTCCAACAGCCGATTACCTCGGCATTTACTTTTGCCGATATATCTGCAAAATATCTGTTTGTTAACTGATTTCTCAGCAAAATTATATTTGTTAATTGAGTCTCGGCAATTGTTTTACTAAATCTCAGCAAAATAAATTGTAGAATTGGAATCCCGCCGAAAAAAATTAAGTGTGTACTATAAAAACTCTAAATGACTTGGATGAAGACATTCGTTGATATCACAATACCTTACATCATTGAAGCTTAGCAAGAAGCTTGTCCAAGAGGTTTGTAAAACAGGCTAGAGGAACACCTTAGTGGAATTCTTATCTAGCCAAGCAAAGGAAAGTCTTGGAATAGACGTCGCTCAAAAGGTTCGGAAGCCCTTAAGTCAGCTCACAATGCTTGCGAAAAAGCTATCCGGTCTGCTGATCCAGCTGTAATATGTATGTACAAATGTGTACAGTTTGAGTGAGGCTAGTCGATTAAACAAACTACTTTCTAAATCAAAAGATTGCCAAAGGAACGAAATTCGAAAACCAAACGGCGACTGTACTTCTTCTGATAAAAAAAAATCTGAAACATGTATTTGAAACACATTTCCAAGGATGCAATCACATCTTATGATGAACCATGTAGTATTTTTAGGCAGTTGTGAAACTTGGACCCAAGTCCGTAGAATTATTACCCTTGAATCTATTCTGGAAGGCCATCGTTTTTTTACATCTACGCGTCATCATGGTTTTCTGAAACCAATGGCCACCATCTTGGATTCCAAAATGGCGGTTGCCGTAGATTTACATCCTATACGTCATCGCAGTTCCAAAAATACCCATATTGTAGGGTATGTGATATTTTTTCTGAGGATTTTCTTCTCATTTAAACGTATGTATTTTTTTTGTGTGTATTGGACCTAAGTGGTCATAGATAGAGTCGGTGTATAATAAGTCACGCCAAGAGAAAAACAGTTGAACTCGCATCACGGTTTTCAAAAGATTCCCTTTCTTTTCACTTGGCAACAGAGGACTTCTACATCAACTTCAAATGACTTCTAGCGAGAAAAAAAATAGCGGCTGTAGTAAATCATTATGATTTGTCAAATTATCTTAACAAGAAATAGTAGAAATTCTCATTACTGATCATTACCAAACATATCCCATGACAATTTAATGCTCACTGCGTGTTTGTGCTCATTTCTTAGATTATATTTTATATTTTATTGCAATACCTTTCGTGGATCTTTCATAGCATCGTAATGTTTGTTTACTTTGCACGATAGGTAGCCGGTTTGACAGTTCAATAGGTAGACTTGGCTTCACTCTTGGCGTGACTCATTATACACCGACTCTAGTCATAGACTACTCGCGACTACCCACAATCACAGCCCTTTAACGAGACTTGAAAGATCATCGGCCACAGCTTATTGTAATGTCAGGGGCACCCAAGCACCTTTACATTACTGAGTTACGTCGTTTGCTTAAACCATGCTTTAAAAGAACGCATTACTTCCTGTCCTCCCGTGAAGATGCAGAGGTAAACTAGGTCTCTAGTAGCAACGGGTGCCGAAAAACAAGCTTTTCGCTCCCCGATGACCGTAAGGACGTAGCTGGCCCCGTTATTGACCTGAAAAGTAATGATTTATCGGTTTTGCACACCATCTACATGGTGGTTTGTGTGAATTTCGCTAGGTCTGGTCAATCAAGCAGTAGCACTTACTGAATTGTATGTTCGTCAATGCTCATGCTCATGTTCATTTTGTAACCGTCCTCGCCGGTACATAGACAATTCTCAGTAAAAGAGAACTCGGTCGAAACGACGAAAAAAATACATTTGCTTGATGCGTGATATCATTTCATTTGAATAGTTTTATGCCGCTGGACATCAACAATCGTCGTTGATTATGTTATGTAATATTATGGAAGGGGCTCGATTTTCTAGTCCAACCGTTTTTACTTACTAAGCAAGAGATCGTGGGTTTTATCCCAGGCCCCATACGTTACTGAAGGGTTGACTCATTTTCCTTTCAGCCATTCGTAAGTCTTATTCGCGTCAATTTAGGAAATCAATACATTATATCAAAATTAAGATTGCATCACTCATAAAGGTGAATCCTGATCCAACGAACACATCTTACTAACAAAATATCCCTTCTGTCACACGCAGAGGTAAACACGGTCCCTAAAACAACAAAATTCATACTAATATTTCTTCCCTACTCCACTCTGAGTGCAAAGACAGCGCAAAATATTTTTTTTTTTTCTATTTCTGTTCCTCTAACTGTTCCCTTTTGTGCAGGAGTTTAAGCCATTTTTGGAGTCAAAATTAATTATTCGTGTATTTTCGTGATATCAAACCATAACACACTGGGGACAAACTTTTAAAAATATATCAAAATTCAATAACTCCTATTCGCACTGAAGGAATTTGATCAAATATAGTCGTTCTTACAGGATAAAGTTTCAGGAATAAAATGGAGCTGGTTTAATCTTGAACAGGATAATGCAAGCGATTTTCACATATTTTTTTGACTCTTATAATGCTTAATCGAGATGCTACAATTTCTTATTTGGTTGTAAATTGAATAACATCTCAGTAATAAAAAAAATGTTTCAACTTGCGCAGATATGTGATAACTATCATGTTGGCCTATTATGCTTAAAATTATCGATCAAAAGAAAAATAGGCATTACAAGTACTGTTTTCAATGAGATAATATGATCAAAGAATGTTATTTTTGGGGAAAATCCTTAGGACCGTATTAAGAATAACGATTTAAAAAATTGCGCCTTTTTTTAATTATAGTCACTTTAACGCTCTATTCGTGACTTGTCCGGGGATGAGATTTAAATTCGTGACTTTGGCGTCAGTGGTATGGATGCTAACCACTACGCCGGGGTCGCCCCCAAAAATTGAGACCCATTTAGTTTTCCTAATAAGGGATTTTGTAATAAAACCACCTAAGCCCCAACTTACACTATCCTCCCATATGAATTCTCAAAGTACGTGATGTCTGGGAAAATCCGAAAACTTCAGTTAAAATTCTCCAGATTTTCTTTTAATTTTGTTTCGTTTATATAAACATAAACTCAACCTAAATTTCACAAAATTCTATTTTACCTAAAATTAAAAAATAACACCGTTTAAAAAAGCACTAGTTAGCAAATGTGTTTTACCCATTCGGTAGATGAATGACGTACCGATAATTGATTGGAAGGATTTTTTAACATATTATGATAGCGAGATATTCGCGATCATTTACTTAATTTTCTGTACCGTCATGAACAGAGCCCTATTTTAAGAAAGATAAATGAAGTAACTATATTTTGGCAACTGCTTACATTAAGCCTTCGTACAGGCAGAGTGGAGGAATTGAACAAGCAAAACAGTAACATTTGTGGGCTTTTGGATGGGTCTATAATTGAAAACACAATTTTTTAACTCACCTAACAACCATGCCTCCTAAATGTAATACCTATCTGATCCCTGGGAAAATTAAAAGTTATGTCGATTCTAAAGAAATATTTACGATTGAACATCTACAATGTAGAGTCTATTATCATGCTGTTGTTATTCTATTTTCTGTTCAATACTGCCAGCTATTGTCATAATCATGCCCAGACTTGTCATAACAGAACACGCCGCGAAGAGTTAGGTTAACGCAGCAATCAATGCTTTGCGTTCGGCGGACCTTATCAAAACCGTGTAATACATTGCATAGGCTCGTGCAAAAATTTCAGCCATTGGCATCGGTATACATGCACCAAAGTACAAACCAAACAGCGAAGTTCTTCAGTAGGAAATCAATTCTACCAACCGTTCAGTTTCTGGGTGGAACCTAAAATGTGTGCACCACTCTCTTATCATAGCCGCAGCCGAAACTACCCGGTAATAAGAAATTGCACACAGTCAGCCGCATCGGTTGCAATTTTCCAGAGTAGGGACCCGCGAGGGATCCAACACGTGCGCCTAGCTTAGTCAGCACGACCATTCAGCAACTTAGTCCATCGAGAACCGCGGTCGACTTGAGACCAAAGCCACAATCGGCATACTGTGAGGCCCTCTCAGTGCAGTTTTATAGTTTTGTTTTGTTGTTGTGCATTGAGCGTGTGCGAGTGTGTGTGTTTTTCCTGGTGCATCCAGCCGCGGTGATCATCTAGTGGAGAAATAGGAAGATGCAAAGCATACGCGACATTGGCACAACGCCGTACGAGCCTGCCCCTCGAGGGGAATCGCTACGGAAACTACGCAATGGAAACTCCACCGGACGGAACAGCGGGCTGGATTCGTTGAAGTTTGCCTTCTCGATTGTGCTCGATTGTTTGACGTTTGTGGTGATGGTGATTCCCATTCTGGTTCGGTATGCGGTTGGCATATTCGTGCCACAGCAGAGGAAGAAAATCAACGGACAGCTGGCTCTGGTGACTGGTGGTGCGAACGGACTCGGACGGGAGATTTGTCTGCAGCTGGCACAGCAAGGCTGTCACGTTGCGGTCAACGATTTGGATGCCACCAATGGGGAGAAGACGGCCGACGACCTGCGGAAACTGGGTGTGAAGTCCAAGTTTTTCAAGGTAGGTGCATTGGTTTATGATACGTACAGTGTATAATTGATTAGGCAAGCTATTCTGAAGCACTTCGCAATCTCATTTTATAACTCTAATTAATTTTTGACAGCATAATGATTATAAAATTACTAACAGCATAATGAAATGCACTAAAAAAAATAAATCCAACATTAGATCATCGCGAGGCTTGCAATTTAGCGCCATTACATGGGGTGCATTTGAACATCGCACTCAGCTGCACGCAGGACAGACCCAATGTTAAAAATGCACTTCTCCTATAGACATAAAAAAAAAACTTTGTGTTTGCCTCCTCTAACTGCCCATCGCAAACATACTGCACATCTAACGTGTGAGCTGAGTTGCATCGTGCTCAGAAATTATGTGCAATGCGCAACTTGGCTGCACTAAACTCGTTTGCTTGGATGTTTAGTTAGGCCTGTGCACTGCGCGGTGATTGAAAGAGAAAGAGTGCAAGTGAACCAGGTTATGCAATGGGCGGTGGGAAACCATTTTCCGGTAGACTTGTTTAGCTATACTACTGTGAACTAAATGAAGCCAAGCCAGCTTTCCGTTGTTCGGTTGTTGGTGGAAAATATCGATGAGTTGTAACATTTTAAATTTTTCCTTTCTGTTTATTTTTCGATCTTTTTAGGCCGACATTTCCAGCTTTGATGCGGTGCAAGGACTGCGGAAGGAAATCGAAAGCAGCTTGGGACATGTCGATATCCTGGTCAACAACGCCGGGGTGCTTCCGTTGATGTCGATCCGGGAAGGCAAACCGGAAGATATCCAGAAGGTGTTGGAAATCAACCTGCTGTCGCACTTTTGGGTAAGTTTTGTATGGCTCCCCGAAAAATGGCCAGCATCAAAATAGCAGCAAATCGAAATCCAATTTTAATGTCAATATCAATTCATTTTGCTGTACGTTTGATTTTCAAAAATATGTTGTTGCAGTTATGTTTTCATTGCCTTAGAAAAGCATCAAAATGAATACTTGTTTTGTTTTAAATAAGAAAAATTAACATCAAATTGAATTTTCATTTTCCTACCACTGATAGCAGAATTAGTTTCCAATGTAATATCACAAAAAATATGCTATAAATTCTGTAATGTTTACCGTTCAAACGAACAAAACGACAGCAACCTCAATAATTATTATCAGCGACACCACATCGTCAAATTTAGTTTTCAATTTGATCTTAGATTTTGCTCGGGCCTTGTTTCTTTTTTTGATTTCTTGCATATGACTGTGCATCACAACTTGCTAGGAAACAGGGGTTTTTGTTAAAATGACGTTATTTAAAAAAAGTTATTTTTTTTATTATGGCCCACCACTAGCCCCCACACCAAAAAGCTATTTTGAGCCTCCTGGTAGTGGACTCATCTCAAACTTAAAGTAAGGTATACAAAAAAAAATAATACAATCAAATAAACATATGCTTCATTGGTGTGTGCACGAAAGTGATGAACACTAAACAAAAACTAACTAAAGAAGGGATGCCCAGTGAAACTATGTTTCCTTAAAAGGATCCCAGAAAAACGAAAATAAAAAACTTTTTTTTTAGATGGTTACATTTACTATTTAACAATATTTAAAATAACGTGTTGAATAGCATTTATAACATTTATAGAGTGTAATTGATTTTTTTTTGTGGTTGAAATATGTAGCTCAAACAACCCTCGTATTGGTAAAGCGTTTTGCATGACGTTAGTGTATAGAAGAAGTGTAGAATGTAACCGTGCTAGTGAATACACAATTTTTAAACATCTGTTTTGCAAAATTTGCAGTTTTTTAAGTTTATATTTGCAGGCATGGCCCCATACAATGATCAGATACTGCAGATGCGAGTGTATGCACCCAAAATAAAATGTAAGGAGTGCACCACGAGGAACAAAATGTCTAACTCGGTACATTAAACCACAAAGGGATGAAACTTTACTTTGAACATGTTCAATATGACTTCCCCAAGAGAGCACAGGATATAAAACTAGACCAAGATATTTGAGTTTGAACACTTTTTCGACAATTGTCTGTCCAACAGACGGATTTGAGTATGGAGGATTTTTTTTTCGTGGAGAATGGAATAACATGTATTTAGTAAAACAGCAAAAAAGGTTATCTTCCATTTAATTCCACTTAATTTTGGTATCCATGACAGATACGTATTTCGACTACAATGTGCAGTCTTCGTCAGTGTCATTCCCACTAAAGAACTTCTTCAAAATCTAACCCCCTTAAGTACCTATACCTATGATCTTGACTTTTTTACCTAGGAGATGAGTACTTAAGGGGGTTAGATTTTGATAAGTTCTTTAGTGGGAATGACACTGATGAAGACTGCACATTGTAGTCGAAATACGTATCTGTCATGGATACCAAAATTAAGTGGAATTAAATGGAAGATAACCTTTTTTGCTGTTTTATTTAGCATTCCGCTAACAACCCAATTTCATTACTTCATGTATTTAGTCTTTAGCAAATTTAAAGGTAATAAATTTGAATCAAAAAACCTCATGAGGATTCGCAAATCATCATTTATGCTAGAAATAATGGAAGAAGTATCTTGACTTGGGTAGAAGATTCCTGTATCATCAGCGAATAACCTTGGTATTCCTTAGTTGCATTACTTTTTATGCCACTAGCAGGACAATTATCAGGCCCACTGCTTTTTTTACATTCAGCTCGTTTATAATTCCTGTCACTTCATTCACACTTGCAGGTCTCAGAAAGACAGACCGTTACAATCGAGTAACGTTGTTCAAAGGATTTAAGTTATTTTTTGGTATTTTATCGGCAAGGTTGGTTCCAAATATGGAAAAGAAATTATTGAAAATTTCACAAACTTCAGAATTTTTAGATGTTTTTGAACCATTGTTCTTAAGCTCAAAACGAGACACTGGTTTTGAACGTCCCATAATCTCGTTTAAGTTTTTCCACAATTTGGCATGACAAGTACTTTCTATCAAATTTTTATAATAATCTTTTTTTTTTTTATTCTTTACTTTACTTTACTTTAACGCTCTTGGGTCATTCGTGACTTGTCCGGGGGTGAGATTTGAACTCGTGACTTTGGCGTGAGAGGTATGGATGCTAACCACTACGCCGAGGTCACCCCCACTTGTAATAATCTATTTTACATCCTTTTTTGGCATCATCTGTTTTATTAGACCCATGTTTCAACAAATTCTTTAAATTGTTATTGTGAGCATTTTTAACTTTTTTAAGATATTTATGTTTAAGTTTTATTTTATTGCTATACGTAGTAATTGAGCCAAGGACAATGTTTAAATTTCATTTTGACTTGTTCACTTTTAGTTTTCGTACATTGTGCTAAAAATCTATTGTTAAAGTGTTGATTGAATCATTCACATCATCACTGCAAACGAAATCGTTCAAAAAACGAGTGAAAAGATCATTTAACTTGATTTTGTCAACATTTTTTCTAGTCAAAATAATATACTCTGTAGGTCTTTAAATTTTGAGGAAAGAAACTAGTAGCAAGTGATCATCGGTAAAAATAGTATCATTTCTTATGCTTTCCAAATCAACATTACTGCATACAAAATGAACCAAGATGTTTTTACTAATTGGTCGAGTTGCAAATGTATTTGAACAAACATAATCATAGGATTCTAATAGGGTTTTATACCGAACGAAAACATTGTTAGTTGATAAAATGATGGGAATATTCATATCACCAACAAAGAAACGAGAACGCGTGTTTTAAAGCGACAATATGTTTTCAAATTCATCATGAAACCGGTTAATATCAAAATATGACGATCTGTATAAACCAACCACTTCATAATAATATCCATTTCTCTTAACTTCAAGATGTAGAAGATAAAAACCATCAGTTGTAACGTCTTTCAACACATTAAAACTCAATCCATCTTTCACATAAATAGCGAGACCACCAGAAGACGTATCACGACAAGAAAATACAGAGTTATATCCTAATATTTTGTATAAAACACAATTATTTGACATAAGCCACGTTTCGCCAACAACTAACACATCAATTGGGATTTTAATACTATCTAAAAATAGAGGAATACTATCAAATAAATAAACTTTTGCAAACTATTCATACCACTTATGCTCCATTGAGCAAGTCGAAAATGGCCATCAATGCTTTCAGTATAATTAAAATTAAAATCACATATACAATCATGATACACATTTATTGAATCAGCCATTCAAGTACGCAAACATTCAAAGAAGGTAAAATATACAAATTTACAATTCTTATATTACTTGCTGCTACTATTGATACCGCGCTTTCTTTTGGGCGAAGGAGATTCTTTTTCCAGCGATTTATTTTACAAATCATCACGTGTTTTGATCATTTCCGGCTTAGAGTGTTCATTTTTCTTCACTAAAATGTTTCCACCTCTACTTGCCCAGACGTACTGGATGTTGAGTTTTTCTTGGTACTCTCGCATTTCACTCAACAGCTCTAACGACAACGGAGTTAATTCGTCGCGCATTGTAATTGTAGTTGGATTACCATTTATCACGTAGTTTTCATTAACTGAAGAAGAGAGTAGTTTCCCAAACTCCTTCTTTTTCGCAAAAACATTCTCTTTTACATCAATGTCCTTGAAAGTTACGCGGATAGGAATCTATGAGTTCTTAGTTTTATTTTTCCCACTGAGTCTAACAGCTGACATAATCGAATCAGTGCCAATGCTCAAACCATAACAAGAGATAACATCCCGAACAATTTTTACAGTATCTTCATCAGGAATGAAAGGGACCCCGAGAGCTACAGCGTTGTTATAATTCGCTTGACGAGCGCTTTTATCAACGTTGTGTTCCAAATTATGGACGATTATCGCATAGCATGTTGCGTGTTCTTGAGCCTATCTATTTCCAGTTTTAAATGCTCGGTTTTTTCTTCAACTCTTGAACATCAGTTACAATGGCATCAAATTTGTCAGAAAGGAATTGCTGAGATTTTTCAATAGCAGTTGTTATCTGCTGTACTTCGAACCTAGCTAACTCTCTTCATTTCCTGCGAGGCAGCATAACAAACTGCTCCCTTAAGTTCAACGGCTAGCGTATCAACTATTGCGGATTTTCAATTTTGGATTTCAGTGATTCGTTGGTAAATAATGGAACAGTTATGCGAGCAGAAATACATCCTGTCTTTTATACGCCGGGCTGCATTACCAACGAGATTTCGGCATTTGTAGTGCGCCTCAGAGAAACAGTACATGCAAGTAACCAATTTATTAGCATCTTTCTCAACTTTTTACATTCGACACATATGCTGTCTTCACCTTCCATCAGTGCGAGTTTAAAACAATAACAACAGACCCAAAATCAATCGCTGGTGGTAACCAAAACTACACAGCTGCAATAACGAAAAAAACCGATTTCACTCTTGCCAGGAACAACAGAATCACTCAGAGTGTTACTATTCGAACTACTACAGCATCAATACACCAGAGCACGAACCAACGGCGAGATTGTGCAAGACGCCTGTTTATTCGATTTTCTCTGAATCTGTCTAACAAAAAACAATGTATTTCACATCTAATACATACTAATACATCATAAATGAAGATCAAAAATTTAATATAACAAGATAACGTATCACCCAAACAAGCAGTGTTGCAACTTTTTTTTATTGAAGTACCAGAAGTATCAGGGAATCAATTTCACTGATTTCACCGAATTCAATGGAAGCTATTTCGATTTAGAGAGCAAACAGTTTAAAAGCATGCTAAATATACATTTATACCAGAAAAATTCTACATACAGTCAACTCGCTACAACTCGATATTTTATAACTCGATTCAACTTTGTTCAATTGAGCGGGAACTGGTATCATAGAAGTCAAGTGCTGTAAGACGAAATCAAACACCAACACCAATTTTTTCACAACAAGCAAAATATTGTCATGGCAACAAGGCGTTGTCATGTCAACCACACATAACATTTTGACAGGATTCTGACTACGCAAACGAAAAATAAAGCAATAGCAGTAAAATTTCAAAATATCTCATAGTAATTCACCATGATCTTCAAACAATCTTTAAATTATTTACGCAACCTCTAAATCTTCTACAAATTTATAATCATTGCCATTTGTTGCCAATGCTCATATTTTGAGGCTATGAGTAAACTGAAGGGTGGTCTTAATGGTTTTTATTTTTTTTTTCAAAATGAAGAATCATAATGGGACAAAAATGCAGGTTTGAAAGTACTTGCATTGTTGTCCCATGAGACGCACATGACTTGGTATTTTTATACGTTTTCTCCATACAAAATTGTCATTTCCAGTGAAGTTTATGAAAAATCGTACGTAAAATAAACACCATTCCTGATGTTAACTCAAAATTATGAAAAACCAAATGGGACTGATATGCGAGTATCGGCAGTACAGGATTCAAGCAATATTTTAATAATGTATGAAACTTTTTTGACGTTGTTTATTGGTGCCTATTTCACTATTGATAGCATATGCAATTGTATAAAGATCAACTTTATGGGTGCGTTGCTGTTGAGCATAAGCATGATTGACCGCCCATGGTTGCTACTCTGTTATTGCCAGATTAGCTGTAATTACACAGAGAACCAATAGACGATTTTTGGGACTAGCAATCATCCTCAATGTGTAAAAACTGGTGATCTCAAACTAGGCAATACCAGCGCCGGCCGCGCCCGAACACATGTCAAGAAAGGAATGGGTAGGAATGTGTTGACGTGACACTCGCTTTGATGGAAGCCGAGAACACCTCTGCACTTCCACGAGAAATCACTGGGATATTGGGTAAGAGGGTTGGGATTGCAGCAGGATGTGGTTTGGTAAACGATAAGCTGAATTGATGTTCTAGCGATCATATAACGGGAATGAGCGTGGGATTGAACCCACGATATTCTGCTCATATTAACAAATAAACCGATTAACGAATATTGAATGTGGAAGGGCTTGAGATTAAACTCATGATGTTCTACTCAGTAAGCAAAAATGGTTGCTCTAAGGCCACCAAGCCCCTCATATCACATAACGATCGCGTTGTTATTGCAACCATTCAAAACCGGCCCCGACGGTGCCGTTAATGACGATGTTAAGTTTCACAAAACACACGATGATCAAGCAATGCTCCTATAAGCCTCCTTAATATGATAGGACCTGGGATTTATTCAAACTCAAACTCGACAAAAAAGCTACGAAAAAGCGCATCTGCCTTCATTAAATTCTAGTTTTATGCGATGTTTGTTGTGTTGATTTGGTCCTTACGTAAAACGTGAACAGAATCCATAAAGCATGCACATTTTTTGACTACCGTGCCCCTTACTTCACTTTCGCTTTTGATAACCACCCAACAATTTGGGTTTTATGAGGTTTCTGTAGACCATGATTCAGACTTTTAGAATAATTTAAAACCTCGATAAAACTTGCAATGTTACTTGGGATGGTTATATAAACATATTTGGTGGCAATTTTGCAACATAGTTTGATAGAGGAGGTTTTCATCTAGCATCCAGAATGTCAAAAACAACGCGAACGAGTAAGTTGATGGAGATAATCGACCAATGCAAATCAAAGGACCTCTTGAAATATTTTTCTAGAGTTATCACACATATCATCAAGGCCAGTGCCATATTAACAGTGATATAAAGCAAGGGCCCCCACTCAGAGACATCAATCAATTCCCTCTCAATAATATGTTTAAAGGAATTAATCGTGGGTTAGTTTTGTATTTGTATTAAACACTAAAACTTAAAAAAAACTTGAAACAGTAGGTCAAACAAGTTGATAACATGTAAAGAAAAGGAAAACTTGCACATATACTGTCAGATTACAGAAGAACATTAGCGTTGCCCAAATTTCTGAGTCGTCGGCATATTTTCTACAGCTCCATGGTATTCGACAAAGTTGCTTGGTTTACAGAGCACTTCATTTTTAAGGTTTAATTTTAAATCTTTTTTATCTAGATTGTTTATTTGGAAGGCTCAATTGTGTTAATTTTACGGAGCCGATAATTCATTGTTCGTTGTTTGTATCAAAATTCACTCACTAACTAGTAGGAGTTGGGCTGAATACAATCCGAGGTTAGAGGCGTACATTGTCGAAGAATCAGGATAGGAGCTTGGGGGTTAAGTTTTCTTATTTCATCAGAGTGCATCAACGGTAGTGCGGTTCTAGATTCGTCTGGAGTTCAACCTGCTATGGTGACCAGTGGGTAACGATAAAGCTCGAGACGGGGGTACAATACAAACAGCTGTTTAGATCTTGTTCCCACCACCTAGAATACACTCGATTTGATCTTTCAATTTCAGCGTCCTAGGGAAAAGATTTCTTGTGTAAAATTGTACATTTCATAATATTGAGAAATCATGGAATTATGAAATAAATTATGACAGCATTTTTTGTGAGTCAAATTTGGTTCTGCGTTCGATTTCTTCAATATTTATCTATGTTTTAAATATCTTGAAAATTAACTCAAAACTCGTTACAGGATTTTGTTAAAATATTCTCAAGTATTTAATTTGAATCATTTCCCTTCACAAAGTATATTTCAGTTTTTTCTTTTAAATTATCTCTGGGAGACCCTAAAAATGAAATTATAATAGTTTAGAAATTCTCTGTCGATCAATCAAAAAAAAAGCTTGAAATAAATCCTTAGATTTTCTTCGAAGCTTCCTTCCAAAATTGCTTGAATTTTCTTTATAACTGCCAAGAAATTCACCTCAGAATAGCATTGAAATTGTATTCAGAATTATCTTGGAGCTATCCTGTAGATTCTTCGTAAATTTTATTGTAAATTTTTACAAAAATTATCTTAACGTTCGTTTCGTGATGCCCTTGGCAATATCATTAAAATTCCCTTAAAACTATTCTCAGTATTCCTTTGGAATTTAAACTTCAAAATTCAATTCCCTTGGTATTCTTCACAGGGATCCTTTTGATAATCGAATCGAAATTTTCCGGAAAGTTACTTAAAAATTGGAGTTAAAATATAAAATCTCTGACGTTCTTACACAACAAATATTGGAAGCACAATAAGAGCTTATTCATTCAAAAATGTACTTTTTCAGCTTAAAAATGGCTTATTAAGCCATTAATCAGCATTTTTTGAACGAAATTTGAATCCATAGGCCGAATTTGATGTCAAGAAGCAGTATTGTTGTGACTCTTTATCAAATCCAACGGTGCATATGAAAAGGTAACTACATTTAGAAGACATCTGTAGAGGAGTGGCGCCGGTGGTGTAGTGATAAGCGTGAGTACGTCTCACCCCAGCAGGCCTGGGTTCAATCTCAGTCGGCGCCACCGGGATGTTCTGAGGCATAACATCTCTGATCACGCTTTCCTTCGGAAGGGGAGTAAAGCCGTTGGTCCCTGGTTCATGAGTTGATGGGTCGATAGGTAGGGTCAAGGTGTGGGAACTGCCTTCCTTGTGTCGGTAGCATTGGTGTTCAGCACGGAAAACAAGATCGACGAAAAACAATTCAAGGAAAAAAAAAAAGAAAAGTCATCTGTAGTAGAAACAATCTATTTTGTGTAAAAATTCGCTTGAAAAAGAGAGGTAAAGTGCGGGTTGTTCAGAATTGACCAAAAGCTAGATCTACAGATTTAGGAAAGTAGCAATCAGTGTCAATCGTTGAAAATGTACTGTAAATTTGTCCAATCCCGTTATTTTCATCCATTTTTTTATATACGGGCATATTTATATTTGTTAAGTGTGCAGTATCGAACACGGCGAGAAGCACTGCAAATATCAAAATGATACAACGAGACCTTATAATTGCACACAGTGTCTATAACTCACCACTACCGTAAGTCCTGTCCCCTAATACACTTGATATCAATCATGTTCTCTTCCTTCCTTCTAATTACAGACGTTGCGAACTTTCATCGACGGCATGGTTGCTCGTCGCAAGGGCCATATTGTGGCTATCGCATCCGCTACTTGTGAGTATCAACCAACGCTCCAAACTCTGCCCTAATCCTATTTGAAACCCCTTGCATAACAATTTTCTCCCACTTCAAACAGCCTACCTACCGGTTGGCCGTCTGGTTTCATACGTTGCTTCCAAATACGGTGTTCGCGGCTTGATGGAAGCTCTCAATGACGAGATGTACTTCGATGGGCTTCAAAATGAAATCCACACTACAACCGTGTTTCCATGCTTCATGAATACACGGAAGGAAGTGATTACTACGCTGCAAAAGTTGGAGTAAGTGGTATCGGTGTGTGAAAATGTGTTATCAGTATGATTAATGTTTCGCCGTCGTTCCAGTATTCTTTCAAGAGTGCCCATTTTTTCGACTAGAAGAATGGCACGCGCCATCATCAGTGGAATGCAACGGAACCACCGTCACGTGTTCATGCCCAAATATTTGGGACCGTTCCTGACGCACTACGAGTGAGTGTCATCCATGCCCAATTTTGATGGGGATTTCACAAATATTGACTGACTGCTTCTTCAAATTTCAGAACCATTCCCGTGGAAATCAGAAGAGTGGCTGCCAAACTTCTGCTCCAAAACAAAGGAGTTCCTAAACTTATGGACTGAACAACATAAATTAGATGATATTTAAAAAAAAACCCACACAAAATGGTGCTAGTTTTCCAGCCTAATGTGCACATATTTCAACATCACTGTGATTTTATCGTTTAACAAAATATTCCACGAGAAATAAATCTACAAAACCCACTTATGTGATTTTCATTCTTGCACTTTCCGTTTGCTGCAATCTTCGAAGGAAAAACAAAATAAGTCAACGCTTCGCTTTTTATCATTTCAGACAATTCGAACTTTTATTGATGGGATGATCAAGCGCCGAAGAGGTCATATCGTAGCTGTTGCTTCTGTGGCTTGTAAGTCCATATAATCATATCAACAACAACACATAATTCAACCCGCGCCCATTTCCAGCCTACCTACCGCAAGGTCGAATGGTCAGCTACGTTGCCTCCAAATACGGCGTCCGTGGATTGATGGAAGCATTCAGCGATGAACTGTACTTCGAGGGTTTGTCGGAACAGATATTCACCACAATTGCTTTCCCCTTCTTCATGCCTACTCGGAAGGATCTTATTGACATGCTGTGTAAATTAAAGTAAGTTCATTGTTGTCTGAACCTCGAGGACCACCGCCAGACTGAAATGTGTCCATATTTTCCTAGAATCATCGGAAGAGTGCCAATGTTCCCGCCGGAAAGCATGGCTAGTTCCATCGTCAGTGGAATCCAGAAGAACGCCAAGCGTGTATTTCAGCCGAAAATTTTAGCTCCGGGACTGACGCAGTATGAGTGAGTGTTGGTGGCAAAAGGTTGGAACTCTGGAACATGATGTTAACTTTTGCGTTTTATTTCAGATACCTTCCAAACGATATAAAAAGACTAGGTCGTAAGCTTGTTTTCAGATCGGATATACCACGGCTGATGCCACTGCCTGAATATGCTGATTGATGAATGATATCAGTTTTCTATTTTAAGTTTAAACTTCCACCGGAATAGGCTTTTAATCAATGCTGCTAGAATTTAAGTTTATAATGGGAATGGAACAAACGCTACTCTTACTATGTAATCGGCTTCCAGTATCGCCTGTAACTCTGCAATACGGAATAAAGCTACCTGTTGGCGCAAACGGTTGCCGTACCTGTAAAAGACAAAAAGAAGAATCATTTTAGTACTCGAGGCAAACGGTAGGTAGATTGAAAGCAGTTTTCAGTGATGCTTGGCACAAAGTAATTTCGAATTAATTATGATTTTCCTAGAAGCAGTAAATGCTATCTTCTACTGAGATTATAAAGGGTGATACGGTCAAAATTTGGTCAAGGTAAAACGCGTGTAAATCGGTGAAATCGTTTATTTAAAAAATCAAATTAAATTTCTTTTTCAAGTTCAATTAGTATAAAATTCAGGAAAAATATTCAGTTAGGCTTCCGCTTTTCCAAATCTGAATTGCCGGGCCTTACGCTTGACCCCTGCCATCAGATTTTGTACAGCCACCTTGTCCACCTTCTTCGCCGCAGAAAGCCAGTTTGCCTTGAACTGCTGCTCGCCCTTAGCAGTTTTTTTTTTGGTCTTCTTTAGGTTCCGCTTGACAATAGCCCAGTATTTCTCAATTGGGCGGAGCTCTGGCGTGTTGGGAGGGTTCTTGTCCTTGGGAACCACCTGCACGTTGTTGGCGGCGTACCACTCCATGGCCTTTTTACCGTAATGGCAAGATGCCAAATCCGGCCAAAACAGTACGGAACAACCGTGTTTCTTCAGGAAAGGCAGCAGACGTTTATTCAAACACTCTTTCACGTAAATTTCTTGGTTGACAGTCCCGGAAGCTATGAAAATGCTGCTTTTCAAGCCACAGGTACAGATGGCTTGCCAAACCAGATATTTCTTTGCGAACTTTGACAGTTTCATGTGCTTGAAAACATCTGCTACCTTTCCCCTTCCTTTTGCCGTATAAAACTCCTGTCCCGGAAGCTGCTTGTAGTCGGCTTTGACGTAGGTTTCGTCGTCCATTACCACGCAGTCAAACTTCGTCAGCATCGTCGTGTACTGCCTCCGGGATCGCGCTTTGGCCGTCGTATTTTGTTTATCATCGCGATTTGGAGTCACTACCTTCTTGTAAGTCGATAGTCCGGCTCGTTTTTTGGCTCGATGCACGGTTGTAGACGATACACCCAGCTTATTTGCGGCATCTCGGAGAGAGAGTTTAGGGTTTCGCTTGAAACTACCGGCAACTCTCTTTGTCGTCTCAGCGGCTTCCGGTTTTCGATTTCCCCCCGATCCAGACTTCCTGGCTGTCGACAAACGTTCCCCAAACACTTTAATTACATTTGTAACGGTTGATTTGGCAACTTTTAGCGATTTTACCAACTTTGCGTACGAGTAGCTCGGATTTTCGCGATGCGCGAGCAAAATTTTGATACGCTGCTCTTCTTGCTTGGACGGCATTTTGACAACTGAAGAGTGAATTCCAAAATCAAAATAGGAGCAACATTCTACACACACACACCTTCAAAATGAGGGGTGTTCAGGTTTTTTAAATGCAAAATTGAAAGAAATACGTCAAGTTGATATTGACCAAATTTTGACCGTATCACCCTTTAGCATCTCATCACGAAGAGATGAGATTTGTATTATCCTTGAACAGTACATTAAAATACATATAAACTTGTTCTTGTGAAGCCAGTGACGCAACACGATGGCGACGGGATGTAAAGAGATTGATTAAAAAATTTCATACTCAAAATTATTCGCTATTTTTTTTCAGAAATTTTTATGTAAAAACTTGTCAAATAATTTAAAGGCTCATCATTTGCTATTTATATTGACTAGGTTTGTTCTCGTACTCACTTTTATGCTTTTTCTGAAAGTGTTGATGCATACATTATGTCGCTATTTAAGGGGGGAGGGGGTCTAAGATTTTGTGACAAGCAATGCATTAGGTATAGGAAAAACTTGACGATAGGGGGAAGGGGGTACATTCTTCCTCAATATAGCGTTACATAATTAATGCATGGGACCTAAGTTGCTGTAAGACAATAATCCATGAATCCCCGATTTGCGCGGTGGGTCAAGTTTGTCGTTGGCCCTAATCACATACAAAAAATAAGAGTTTATATCTAAGACACGACCGCAGATTTGACGTAGGATTACGAACGGTAGTTATGATGTCACAGCAAAAGTATATAGTGTTAGTAAATATTAAATTGATTTCTTAACTCGTTATCAGGGAAAAATTTCGATTGGTTGAAATTCGAAAGCAGTTCTGTTTTTGAAGTGCTTTGTCGATGTTCATGTACTACAAGCCAATCCTGGACGATATGTCTTGGATTCAAGCTCTAACTCTTTAGTTTACTTTTTTTATTAGCCATTTGTGGTCCTGAAAAGGACTCATGGGTTGGAAGCTTGAAAGCTAGTTAAGAACAATACTGTGGAAAATTTTCCACGATGTTTTTGGAAATGATAGCGGTGGGGAAATAAAATATTTAGGAGAAATGAATGTAATGTCGTCCTAAATGCCCCTAATTTGGGCCCATACATAAATACAGCAATCGAATAAATTTTCAATGACGCCCAAATATATAGATTAGTACCGTCCCAGTGACGCCTTCAATCTTAGATCCAAAGGCTAACATTAGAACCATTTCCCCTATTAGGGAAAACACATCAATCACAGAATCTGAGCCTACCGGACGGTACCTACGTTTATACTTTTTGATGCAAATTTTAAGCCCCTTCTATTAAGAGAATTCGGCATGGCTTCTTTTTTGGCATAATGCTCTTAATATGAGAGGCTTAAAATTGCACCAAAATGCTTAAAAATTGGTACCGTCTGGCATGCTCAGTGCTTGATATCAATATTCAGCGACTGTGTTAGGGAACCACTTTTCCTATCACGGAAACTACTTGTTTTCTGATGACAAAATTACGCATTTACGTGCACAAAACGCACGGAATTTTTGTTTTATTCAATCGATAATTAAAAAAAAAGTCAATATTGTTTGGAGGAATTTCTTGCTCATATTGTTCCAATCGCGATCAAGCATATAAATTCGATTTTTTTTTGTTTTTCTAGCGTCCTGGAAAAAAACCTTACAAAGTGTCTCTGGTTAATTGACATGGTCATGTGGTATTCGATCATTGCGAGAATTTGTATGTACCACTTCAATACTGTTACGTATTTGACGACAAACGTTGGGTTGCTGGGTGCATTATCAAAGAGTTTTGGGAGTGATGAGGCTGGCCGAACGTTCAATGAAAATGATCTCTAAAACAACAATAATTTATGTTGATCTTTAAAAAGACCGTTTTTTCGTAGTGGTTGAGTAATGCTGAGCTATTAGGGTGTTCAACGTGGATGAAGCTGGCGAGCTGTTTGTTGTTTGGAACGAGGGTGACGCGCTTGGCATAGATGACCCACAGATTGCACCAATACATTTAGGCCTGCAATTCCACCCCCCCCCCCCGGGACGTGTTTCCTATACCTAATGTATTGCTTGTCACAAAATCTTAGACCCCCTCCCTCCCCTAGAGCGTGACATAAAGCTACTTGCGATTGATGACATTTACAAATGTGTAAAACACACTCTTTAACAAATTTATGGTGGTCCTCAAAAGGACCGTTTTGTCGTAATGGTTGAGTAATGCTTAGCTATTAGGGTGTTCAACGCGGATGAGGCTGGCGAGCTGTATGTTGTTTGGAGCAAGGGTGACGTGTGGCTTCTTCTTCCTTCAATGGATGTTCATGTGGGCTCTGCAACTCGCTGCTTTCCGGCTGCCTTTCGTTGTGTACTGGAGAACAATGTTCAACGCCACACGCCGAAAGCACTGCTGCTGATGGTGCTGCTGCGGACACCGTCGACCAAACACCACCACACACGGTGATTGAATGAGCACCGTTTAGTGAGACAGGATCGAATTCGATTTTTAAATCTGTGTTAGGGAATGAAGGCAATCGGTGATAGTTTTCATCACCATTGCCACAGTTGGACATTTGTGTATTTTTCAATAGTGTCATATTGAAAATTACTAAAGTGTTCATTTTAGCAGATTGGTAGATACATTCCCAATCGTTTGGCCATCTACTTTTGACAGAGTTATATGTGGTCAAAACCTGACCTCTTTTCGTAATGCGGTCGATTTTGGTTTTTTTTAATTGCTCCCCCAATATGTTGCCAAAAGACGTAATCTTTCATCAAAATCAGCTCAATTGGTTGAAAGATTGTTGAAAAACTGTGGTGCGTAGGTGACACATAACCCATCACGTAGATTTGAGTCAGCTTCGTCTTCTTCTTCTTTGCATTTCAAACTTATTGCACATTAGCTTATTGCGTGTCCTCAGCTTTGTCTTCTAGATGCACTTCCACAGTTATTAATTGAGAGCTTTCGATGCCTTTACCATTTTTTGCATTGGTATAATTGTGTGGTAAGTACAATCATACTCTATGCCCAGGGAAGTTTAGAAATTGCCCAACCCGAAAAATTCTTAGACCGGACCGGGAATCGAACCCAGCCACCTCCATCATGGTCTTGCTTTGTAGCTGCGCCTTTACCGACTGAGCTAAGGGAGGCCCCGTGTAGATCTGGGATTCCTGTATTATTTTCTTACATCAACTTACAGCAAAAGCAAAGAAGCAAGTACAGGATCAAACCTACTGTTTTATTAATACAACGGAGAGTTGGCTATAATGAGACACGTTTTATTTGGTACGTTCATTGACCGATGTATATGTACGCTCTAAGATATTATTACTAAACATTGAAAAGCAAAATGTTCCGCAACACTTTGACTTCCATATAAAGGTCTATTTTTCGCAAAAAAATATTTGAAAACACTTTTATCTTCACTCCAATATTGGAGATATTGTTGTTTTGATGCTTTAAACCTAATTCTGAATTTAACTTTACGGTTCAGTAACCCCTTTATAATGACTGGAAATAATTTTAATAGGGTTTCTGATCTAATGTCCGTCCTATTTAACACAATTCGCACTTAACCATATTTTTTTCCAACGGATAGGTGTGTAAGTGTGTGTGTAATAAATCCCCAGTGGTATTATGAAAAATAGAATTAGATTGCCTTGATGTGATAATTTAAAGCAGATTTAGTCCGGTAGTTAGAAGGTGATAGCTCTACTGCAGATCCAACAACCCATTTCAGAATGCCTGATCAGTGCTGTAAATTCTCAAAATCAATTGAACATTTTTGACGAAGACATGGATCATTCTCATTTGAGAAACGCTTGATATCATTCAGTTGAGTGTA